AAAAACATAGATTGTGATTTTCAAATGTGTCTTTTATTTATTTATGTACGTTTATTTAACCATGCAAATACCCACTGCAATCACATATCTCTTTTGCAAGTGAGGCCTGGGCCTGAAGGCAGCCTAACATGCATGTTTTTGCTGTGGGAGGAAACCGGAGTACTCAGAGAAAACCTACGCAAACATGAGAAGAACATGCAGACTCCACACCGAAACACCTCAGGACAGATTCAACCAGAGATTGAACCCAGGACCAGGAGGCAACAATGCTAACCACTAAGCCATCGTGCTGCCCACCATTAAAAAAATAAAATAAAATAAAAAAAAACAGCTGCACACGGCTTACTTGCGGTTTGGTCGCAAACAGAGTTCAGTGAGACTGCAACAGAAAATTCACAAATCTTTTGGCAATTTTGAGTCAACAAACTAATGTCCAGTGAGATTTTACCTTAGCAGGCTTAATTTAGCTAGTTAGCCTGATTTGGCATAAACACAATAAAACAGATGGGAATAAAACTCTGAAGTTGGCAGAAACTCAGCTTTCCTTAAAGATGTGTAATTTTACATTATGATAACATAATGTTACATTTCTCTTGCTTGAACGTTATAAAAAAAATGGAAAAAAAAATCAACAAATGGTGATCAACTCGTCACTTGCACTGAATAAGAATGAAATACTTGGGCTTTTGCTGTTTGTCAAATTAAATAGCTGGCACATTTTCTACACTGAATTCAAAGGAAGCATCTGGAAACAGAAATGTTGTTTTACTTGTTATGCTTCAGGGCTGTACTGACATGTTGTTCACCTACGTTTTCTGGTCTCAACAGGTGTGTCAAACTAAAAGCCCACACCTTTTTTTTCCCACACCCCTGCAGCTGTCACTCTTGCAAAGCATTCTGGGTAAAAGAACAGGGGACAGATGCATGTGCAAGAAAGCGAGGCTCATTAGGCCTTCGCGGCCCACGCCTTTGAATTAACAGCAGTTTTAGTGCATTTGCACAGTTGTGAGAGAAGATGTGTGTGTATAGATTTAAGAGAGGGGCGTGAACAGCAGCCTGTTTGATGACTGAGCAGGCCTGGTGCTTCCCTGTCAGCCCCTCGCTGAGATGTTAAGAATGTTTTCAGTCATGGCTGAGCAGTATGTTAGTAATTTAGGATTACCTCAATGTTATGTGAAGGAAGGAGGGAAGAAAATATGGGTGTAGAAGGAGTGCAGGGGGAGAGACTGAGTGCTAAAGATGGCGCATGAGAGGGAAAGGTTATGCCGAGTCAATACAGATTACCTTTTTGCTCGCTATCTCAGCATGGAAGTGGAAAATTCCAGTGTGTCATAATAAAAGCAGAATATGGGTGTGTCTCGTCAGGGAAGAAGTTAAGAATGGCAGCCTGCAGTGAGCATAGTAAGGGTTGAGCAATCCACAAGGGAGTCATGAGACTTCAGAAAGTACAAGTGAGGAAAAAGGTGAAAAACGACATGATTGTGGCTGTGCATTCAAATGTACCAGTGTGTGTGTGTGTGTGTGTGTGTGTGTGTATTAACCTGTCATGATTTCCTGCAGTGTAGACCTCTGGGTCTCTGACCTCGCTAACCCTCCCACCGTGGCAAGTCTGAGCAGATGTCGTTTTCCACAGCTGCAGACTGATAACGCCATAAATCTCTGCACGAATGTATAAGGAAGTAATGTTTCTAAATAAAACATAGTGGTAATGCTTTTTGTTACCCAATAAAACCAGTTTTTCTGGGTGTTTTGTTTTAGCAAATGGCAAACAGAGTCAGTAATTGGCCGCAAGATGTGTAGCTGCATTTCATCAGTTTCAGTTTCAATTAAAAACCGGACATTTTTATGTTTTGTTCAGTTTTTTTGGCACCCTTTCAACGCGGAGCCCTTTGACTGAACGCAGATCTGAGTGATGTCCTTAACACAGAACTTCTAAGAGATTGTGTCCCCCTCAGAGCATGATCATCGTAAGACTCAGTACTTCGGTTTATCCTGTAGTCCTGCACAGCTCCAAATTTTCATCCATAACTTGGTGCTTTTTGTTCTCTCTCCCCAGAGTTGTACCTGTTTTAAAGTTCTCTTTCAAAGTTAAAGTAACAAAATTAGCTTCTTAACTTTGACTCATTACCACTGGAATCACTCAAATGGCCGACTGCACTGGGGTGTCTCAACACGAATCTTGTTACTGCAGAAAAAGATAACCACTATTTCAAGTATCCTAATATTAATCAGATGTTTTGGAAGAACTGAAGACTTCATCTCAGCTTAAAATAAACACCTAGCATTCCTTGAAGTAATGCTACCTTTCCCAATAGATGTTTGATTCAAGATGGCTGCCGCATTCCATCTGCCACAGCCAAAACTTGTGTGGCGTGTTAATTCTCAGATTATGTACTAAGGGTGACTTTCAGCTACTTCCTCATAGGCCTGTCACGATAAACAATAAATCAGTTAATGCATGACGAATTAAAAATTATCAAACTCATTTTCATTTATCGGCTTTATCGTTTCTTCGCGTCTCTTTTCTACTGAAGACACGGCTCAACTCCGGTGCTCTTCACTGAACCCTCCCTTTCTCTTTTCTCTTTAAAATCCATTTTAACCATCCAAAATTGCGTTTTTGGATCATTAAAAGCAGCTAAGCTGAGAAGCTAAGCTAACTGGCCGACCTTGGGCATAAACCTCCGTCTTGTTGAAGCTCCAAAATTCACGGTTGAAACCCGTGCCTTCGTGTAAAAATTGTTTTCTCTGCAAAAAGAAGCTAACTTGTTTACAGTTTTTTTTTTTTTTTTTTTTTAAAGCTTTGTGTGAAAAATGCTATGCTAAAGAGCTCAAATCGCTGAGCATCCGCCATGTCACCATGTCAGCCCAATGTCACGTCAAGGGCCCTCCCTCCCATTTTTCTTAAAGAGACACGCTGCTCAACTATCCATCCTTTGGTTCAAACAGTCTTACTCTGCCTTCAAATGGTCAAAAAAGGTGCTACAAACAAATCAACATTTCTAAAATTTTACAACTATTGTTAAATTTCAAACAATATTATTATTTATCGCAATAATTTCTGAGACAATTAATCGCCCAGCAAAATGTGTTATCGTAACAGACCTACTACCACACCAAGTTTGATTTCAGTACCTGTAAAACTGAAAGAGTCATAGTCGTTTTTGTGTTTGCTAAGGTTGCATAGCCATGGCAGCCATCTTGAATGGGATTGGCTCCAAAAGTTAACCAACTGTAGATGTTTCTGAGAGTTTCATAAAATCTGTCCAGTGGTTCATGAAATTTGCAGAACAGACAGACATGGGCAAAAACATTATCGCTCCATCTTCACTTGCAGAGTGCCACTGAACAATCACACAGACTCACTTTTGATTTACCTTCCAGGATCAACCCCTGAACTCTGCTGAAACTTACAGAACTATGTGACGAACAGATTCAATCCGTAATGACTTTAATTAGGGGAAAGTAAATAGTTTTGGTTTAACTCAACCTCAGCTTTTAAGTACTGAGAGACAGAATTCTCAAACTGACTCATTGTTCTCAACAAGTTCTTTACCTTGTATCTTTTTAATTTGCAATGAATTGTCAGTAAAGCTCGCAACATATCTGTGATGCAATATTCCCTCTTTCGTCCCACAGCTGAAGAGACTGGGTGACAGTTGGGTGGGGGGTTGCACTGGCGTTATTTTTCTCTGTTGGGATGGTCAGCAGCAGGTGCTGCTGTCCATTCACCATGGTGTTTCTTTGGGACAAGGTCTGCTTTGCTGCCAGGTGGCAGTTGCTGGCAGATACAGTTATGGCTTTGTTTTTTCGCCGTGAGTGGCTGCCCTTTTCAGCTGCCCCTTTATAACCAATGACCCCCTACCCCGGTCCCCTCACCCCCCTGACTCTCTAACTCCTGCTTCTCCCAGAGATAGAAGTCTATATGAGCATGTGTGCTTGCACCCAAAGCTCCTTGTTCGTAGGCCCAATCAGACTGGCTAGCACAGATGTGACAGGCTTACAGGAATGCTAGGAATGCGGAGGCGCTGGAGTGGGTGTGTCCATCCTTGGCTCGGGGCAGAAGGGGAGGAGCTACCTCAGTATCGGCAGACAGCTCAGCTCTGCTCTGCTGGCTGACTGCCGGACCGACTGGTTGGCTATTACGATGAGTGCTGCGGGCCTACTGGAGATGGCCTGCGGTACTTTTATGGTAATTGCAAAAACCAGGGCCTTCTCGAGGCCAAGTACAAGACGTCTTTCTCCTGTCATTATGCATCTGGGAAGCTGTTAACCTTCTTAAACATACAGTCTGCTCTGTGTCTTTCCTGCATGTGTTTAAGAAAGCACATCTTGACCAATTTTGTCAGCATAATTTTCCGTCAGCAAGTTTAGAAGCATTATTCATAATGATACACTGGTTCAACCTCTGCGTTTGGCCCCAAAGTTTCAGCCACAAAAACCCAGTAAGCGTGACTTGGCAGTGAAGAACACCGAAAAGGCCTGACTTTCCTGTGAGACAACATAATGTAGCGTTCTGTGCTTCTCATACACTGAGATGGGTTTTTACTTGATTGCAGCTGCACTTTCCTGTAGAAGCAGAGCTTGTTAAATCTCCTGCACAGCTATGAACATAAAGAGGACCATGAAAGCCCAGAATAGATGCCCGTTAACTCAACAAGATGCTTGTGCAGAATTTCGAGTGGAGATGTTATGTCTTTAAAAACATGGTTCTGTTTTCTAAGCCCTCTTTGTAATTAGGCTGCAGCGTGATGTGAGGAGACATTAAAGAGTGTGAAATGAGCAAAATAAAACTTTGAGGGAAAAACAAGTCGACGTACACATTTGCATGCAATGAACATAAAAAAAGTTTAATAAGAAACAGACTAACGTTTGTCTAAGCTTTAGGACGTCACAATTTTGTTTTATAAATTTAAGAGATGGCAACAGTGCCACCCTCTGTTCAATTATAGCTAATAAAAGTGAAGTTTCTTGACTTGGTCCTTTGTCTTGTGTTTCAGGTCGCAATGAATTGATTGCAAGGTACATCAAGCTGAGGACAGGCAAAACCCGCACACGAAAGCAGGTAAACAAGAAAATGCATGTTGTTAAGCTGCTAAGGGACAGAACAACAAATTCAACATAATTAATACAAATAAAATGTTGCATGAAGTCACTTTACAGATTTTTAAGGATATGTTTAATTTTATTTTAAATTTCTTACAACAAATCTAAAAAAAAAAAAAAAAAAAAAAACATTTACTTTGCCTTCCTTTTTCTGCTTATAGAACTGTAAAAAAAAAAAAAAACATTTTAAAGCAATCTAAAAAAGTTAAATCTGACCTCAGACTGAGGAAGTCTCTCGGATGAGAGACGAAACGTTTCTACATTTTTTGTTGATCTGCTTTGTTTTGTTTTTTTGAATGTCCAGAGGACCAGATTTAACTTTTTTAGATTTTTCTACCTGGATTAGTGAGCATGCATCAGGACATTTTAAAGCAACTTTACAAACTAAAGATTTGTTTTAACAAATACTCAGTAATTTGAGAATAATACACGCATTTTCTTCTAGTGAATGTCTCTGCAGCAGAATGATCGTGTCTGAGGGAGTGACCGTCAATAAACACCAGTGTTCAATAAATAGATCATATATAGACTTGTCCAGTTCAGAGCAAAGATCATGACATTCTGTGCTATTTCAGAACGTTAAGAGTTTAGAAACATTGTTTAGAACATTGCAAGTGTGCAAGTGTGGGAAGGGTTTAAAATGCCTTTATTTATTTGTATGTATGTATATAAATATATATATATATAGATATAGATATGTATATATATATATGTATTATATGTTGTATATATGTATATATACTAAAGTAAACTGCTACTTACTACTTGTACTATTCCTACTTGGGGGCTGAGAATGGAACCCCCCGCGATAAACGAGGGACTACAGTACTTTAAGGCTTTATAAACCCTTCCCACACTCTTCCAATGTTCTAAACCAGGGGTGTCGAACTCACTTAGAAAAGTGGGCCCAAAATTAAAAGCTTTTTCAGACTAAGGGCAAATTTCAAAAACTACATTAATTCAGTTCAGCTACCCATCATATTTTCTTGATCACAGGTTCCTCAACAAGAGTTTGATTGGCCTCAGTTGATGTTCTCTGATGTGCTTTCGACATCATAATCAAAGAAGACTGAAAAAAAATTCAAAAGATAGAAGTATTTTACGTTTCACATATCATCTTGGGGGCCAGATAAGATGTCAACGAGGGCCACATTTGGCCCCTGGGCTTTGAGTTTGACACATAGGTATGTTCTAAACTCTTAAACTTACATAATTTTAACAACATACATATATGTTCAGTACAGGACTGCAAATTGTAACTCACCAGCTCTGCAGAACAGCAGCTCGGTTACGGTCGGGCCCTGTTCCGGTTCTGCAGACCTATCCTGCAGCGACGAAGCCCACCGCACCGTCCAGGTTGATGTGCACGTGGATATTTGAGTTTCAGGAAGCTTCAGGATTATTTGCGACTTTCCTGCCGGTTCTGTGAGATTAACAGATAGATTGTTACTTCTGACTTTGCGTTGCAAAAGTATCCCTCCATTTTGGTAGAAAGCAGCGTCTGGAAGCACTGTTGGCTTCTGGGTAGTGTAGTTCTTCTGAGTTGTGTTACAGTGTAGACTTATTGAAAGAAAACTTGACAACGGCGGCACCTGACCAACGTTTTTTCATTAACTATTTATCCCGTACTGTCCCAATCACGCGAGTAATATTACAGTTGACAATCGTGTGTCGTGTACAATCTTATGTTGAAAAACTGCCAAAGAGTGTGTCTGCAAAAGTCAAACTGCGAAGTAGCGAGGGACTGTTGTATATGTTAAATCATTTCAAAAGGGGCAAAAATACTTGAATTTGTTAAAAAAATTTATGAAATGAAAGACTTTTATTAATATTTGGAGTAATGTTTGCAAATGTTGGTTGAACTTTCTACCAGAGTTTTGTGTGAGATTTTCTGCCGCAGTGGCTTTTCGTTGCATTTACTGCATTTTGAAACAACCATCGCCATTTCTCTTTGACTGTTAAATTAATAATCACAGGTTTTTTTTTTTCTCCTTAAGTTTGGATGTTGACTGTTTCTGAGCTGATTCGTGCTGTTCTTGTAGTCCCGTGGAGTGAAGTTGCGTTGATCTGAAAGCCAGGGTCAACATGACAGATCAAAGAGACTCTTATTGATGGTGAATTAATTATTTTTAAGCATTGATTTACGGTGGACTAGAAGGCACATTAATGCAGCTTAAGAGCATTCAATGAGCTGGCTAATTTATGTTTCATCGAACAGATAAACAATGAAAGTTACACTGGCTTGATTTTAAAGTCACAATATTGATAAATGAGTTTAATTAACTGAGATGCCCCTCTCTGTAGAATATCACCACCTTTAAATTAAATTGCAGGGTCTTTGCAGCAGCTGTATAGATCTCTTATCCCTCCTCACTTTTGTTGACCTTATGAAGAATTCTTATACGCTCTACATGTATGCACTTGCAAAGTTGTGATTGCATGCATGGATATGAGGGTATGTTATTTTTATGCTCAAAAACTGTTTCACACCCCTTTAGGTGTCTAGTCACATACAGGTGTTAGCACGGAAGAAAGTTCGTGAATACCAGGCGGGTATAAAGGTAGGTGCCGCCGGCCTGCCTCCCGGCAACACTGACGGGGCGTCTCTTTCCTCTTTTGGTTACGGCTTCTCTCTTTCTTCCCTTCTATTTTCTCTACCCTGTCTCCTTTCTTCTTCCCTCCCCCTCGGCTATTCTTCTGTGCAGGTTTCTAGCCACTTGCAGGTTCTCGCCCGGAGAAAATCTCGCGAGATCCAGTCAAAGCTAAAGGTATGCGCTTCACCTCGGCGGGGCTGGCACACGCTTGGCTTTGCACTAACCAGCTAATTTATGATCTCTTTACTAGCTTGTCTATGTTCTGATGATCAGTCTTTTGTTTTGATGTGAAGCCTGTTCCTGCTGCATGAGTGGATGCATGTTTACCACAGAAAAAGCCATAAACATTGATTAGATCAGAGGAGAAAAAACTCCCATCTTCCTTCTTTGCATGCAGAACACCAACACCCAGTGTTTTGTATTTTCTCAATCTGAGCACCATTAAGAATATCTCTTGTGACTGAAAGGAAAGTATAATAAATTAGCCTTTGCTTTAAATGAACGTTTACACACTGCTGTCACAGACCCTAAGAAAAGCCCAGCGGCTGCATGTTGCTCCGGCTCTGTCTCCTTTGCTGCCAGGCCTCTGCAGCCTTCTGTACTTTTCTGACTCCTCCCCCCTCCATTACTCATTTTACTTTAATATATCTTCTTTCTTTGTGACTTTTATAAACGTTGTATTAAAAAAAAAAACATCTTTCTGTGTGATGAATATGACTCCTGCATCTTAAAGTTTCTCTGGACTCGTCATGCTTTAAAATTGTATACATTTTTGCAGCTTCAAGAATAAATGATTTATGCAAAAATGTATTCTGTGGAGCCAACTTGAAGTCAAATGAACATATCTGAGTGCAAACTAATCCTCTAGAGGGCAGCAACATCCATGGCAGTCATGTTTGAGCTGAATTAAATAATATTGGTTAATAAGTGCAGAACAGGCTGGTCTTTGAAATTATTAGGAAATGGATTTATCTCCATCCTCACATCAGACTTTCCACAACTGTCAGATTTACCTCACTGTATATAAAGCACCTTTAAAAATACTCATTGTGATAAAAATATACTTTAACCCAGTTTTATTTATGTTTTTCCTCCCTGTGAGTTATATATTTTAGTCAACATTTCATGTTTATGTTATATTTAAGTTAATTTATACCATCGTAGCTATTTTGTTCATTCAGCAAATAATTTTATTAGGAAGTTTATTCGTCATAGTTGTAACTTTTGTAGAAATAATTTCTCCTATATTTATGGACTGCGTTCTTGTCGTTACTGTTTGGACTGACTTGATTAGAAGTTTGAGTTTAACGTTACTGAACGTAGTAAAATAAAAGAATAAACAGTTATATAAAAAGAAAATAAATGTAAAACACAAGCAAGCCAAAAAAAAAAAAAAACAGTAGTAACGTATATTTACACGTTCAAAGGAGTTATTGTTACACCCACCCCTCTTACATCTATAGCATCATCCAATAATTTACTATTCATGGCAACTTGGTTATTACATTCTTTAATATTTTATATATCCATATCTATAACTGGTACAATGCAGTCACATTTGCATGCCATTAAGATCTAGCATCAGTACTTTTTTAACATGTTAAAATTCTTTCTAGATAATTTTTCATTCAACCTTTACTTAGACAGGTAAATCCCATTGAGCCTCGAGGACTCATTTACAAGAGAGACCTGATTTCAACAAAGAATGATGACAACAATGGACAACAGCAACAATAAACAGTTATAAAAAGTCATACAATTTTTTTTTTTTTTTTTTTTAACAAATAGGTTGGCTAAAAAAGTAACAAAAAAAACAGGTGAATGTAGAAAACTAAAACCAGGAACATGTCTGCATTGGTCCCTGCCAGGAGTCCAACAGATTCTTAAAGCCACTTAGAGAGGTCAAGGTCGAGAGCTTCACATCTTTTTGTAAGATATTCCAGGAAACAGGAGCGGAGTAATGCAGTAATAATAATAATAGTAATAATGCAGTAATGATTGATAAATTCATTAATTGTTAACGACATTGATAACAGCCGTATTAACGGTCATTATTTCCCATATTGATGTGCAGTGATGACCATCTTCTTAAATGATGTTTTTAAGTTCTAGCCGTAAGTTGGCTTGAATCGTTCTAGACCACAAAGCATCGCAAAATACTGACATTGAGCTGCCCTGTTTGATCTCCAATGTTTAATCCCGACAGTTGTCCTGCTCATTCCTAATCTTTTCTTTTGTTTAGTAACATATTTATTCTTATATTCTCAACTTGGTCTTCTGTGAGATTCTACCCGTGTCTGATTCCACCATAACTGTTAACGTGCACAGACTATATCCAGTTTAATGTAGGGCTGTGTCGTGGTTGTTTTCAGATGATTCAGCGGAGGGATTTATCTACATGGACTGCATACTTGCAGTTCAAATTTGATTATTACGATTGCTAAAAAAAACAACAACTGGGCAATTCTTTTGAACTGCACTCTTTAATTTAGTTCAGGCTAAATTTTTATGATTGACTTCAGAGTTTGCAATGAGTACCTTTTAAGTATCTAAATTGCATTCTAAGAAAGAAACCTTGACATTGAAAGAAACTGTTTCTGTATATCAGCTTTATGTCTGATGTGCACAAAAACCTTAGTGACTTTCAAATATTAGTTACAAAAACAAAACCTTTTTTATTGTCTACAGTGCACAGATTTATTTCCTTTGTAAAACAAAACAAGTTTATTAAAGTTTTTGAAACCCTTCACTTCTTACCAGTAAGTAAATGACTAGCTGGTGTTTTTCCACAAACCTTGTAACAGAGTAGAGCATTGCTTTAGATTTCTTTAGGGGAATTTGGTTTAAATAGAAGTAAAATTCTTCCATGGTGTGCATAAATCCACTTCATTTTTATTTATTGCACACTCTTTCCACAGTATGAAAGACCAGCCATGATACTAAAGTTCAAATATTAATAAAATGTGCTCAAAGAAACAATTTCTCAGCATCATGTAGAATTGCACCGTACTAATGGTTTCTTTCTTTTTTGATTCAGGCGATGAATTTGGTAAGTGAATTTGACTTGTGTAATGTGCTTCCCTCCTTCCCTTTTTTGTCAGTACTAGTGCACTGTCCTTTTACTAAGGCCTTCTGCTGGCATGGCATATACCATCATTGCTATTCTGTAAAGAAGCAAAGCTTACAAAAAAAGCTTGGTACATGGCACTGCTGCACATCCTGCCAGTTGTAGCATAATCGCCCCGCGGACTCTGCCAAAAAGCCAAATTCTTGCTTGCTTTGCACTTAGGTGTTGTTCTCTGATACGGGGTCTTATTTCCTAGGCATCTTTCCTTTTAATTGCAAAAACAGATCTAAGTGTGTAAAGTTTGTATATTTTACATACTAAGAAGTGTTTAATACTTTGTAAAATTAATAAAAAATAAATAAATAATAAGGGGTTTGAATGACTCCTCCATATGGTTTGGTTATGAATTGGTTGATTTATTGTATCATGTAAGCCAGTGGTTCTCAAACTGGGGTCCCCGGACCCCCAGGGTACGTGAGTCGGTGCTTGGGGGTCCATATTTTTATTTTTTTAATATATATATATATATATATAT